CATGGTGTCGACCCTATAAACCAGTAGAGACACCAAGAGTAAGGCAACAAGATGGTGTCGATCTCCAGGAAGGCTCGTGTCGACATCGTAACAGAATTTTCAAGTTTCCAAAGAATTTTTCAACGAAAACAAACGCGAAAGACCAATCCTAACTAGTCTAAATCGAATTGTACTCCTCTAAAACTAAGATATAACTACTCCAAAGACTCCCAAAATGAAAATAAAGGAATTAAATATACCCTCCAATAGTTTAAAGGATACAAGTGTTACATCTTAGATTAAGATTGAATAAATTGTACCGTTTGACAAAAACTACTAATAACAATTTTAACGTTCGACAAAAACTAGTAATAATAATTTTCCCCAATCAAAGGTCGGGTAGAACTACATATATATAAGGTTTGGTTATTATCAAATTGTTATATCAATTTGAGAGAGTATTTGGGCATAATAGAATCATTTTGAAATAGATTTTGGTTATTTGAATCGTATGTTTTTTAGAACTCGTTGAATAGAGTATTTATGTAAGAAATAAAAATGATTTGACATTAGTAATTATATGTTTGAATTATATTTATTTTTTAAAAAATGGATGACAAAAGGACTAGTTGAATAGAATATTTATGTAAGAAACAAAAATAATTTGACATTAGTAACTATATGTTTGAATTATATTTATTTTTAAAAAATAGATGACAAATAAAATTTTAAGAATAGACATCTATTTTTTGTAATACAAATTTAATTCAAACATATAGATACCAATATCTGATTATCTTATTTTTTGCAAATATATTCTACTAAATAAATTTTAAAAAATAAACGGTTTAAATCACTGAAATTGATTCCAGAATGAATCAATAAATCAAAATACTCTCTCAAATTGAAATAATTAACATGAAAGAAACCCATTCCATATATGTTGTATATACTATTTTGTTAGATTAGACTCTATTTTTCTTTTTCTCTTTTTTTTTTTTAAAATTTTTTTGTTTCTATTTTTTTTGGACCGATAAAGACTTGCACGTGAGGAGCTTCTCATGACCTTCCTTCTTTTTTCTTTTTTTTTTTTTTTTCTATCTTTTTCAAGACCAATTACATTTCAATTTTCAAATGTTGTTCTTCCACTTTCACTTCAATTGTTGTCCTTCCACTTTCACTTTAATTATTATAGGCGTGTGGGCCTGGCATATTAGAATATACTAGTGGGTGGCACACACAACGTGTGTGCAATTTAAATAAGTAGAAATAAAAAATAATAATAATGAAATTAATATTATAATAATGTGTATTTAGCTTAAGTGGTATGAGTCCTCGTACTTAAACCCATGGTCATGGGTTCAAGCCTTGCCCATCTCTTTGTTTAACTTTTTTTTCAAAAATAAAAAATACTGCCACATGGCATGAGGAGAGTAAAGCTTCAAGACACCATAAGAGTTATGTGTTCACTTTATAATAGTATAAAAAATAAATAAATAAATAGATAGATAGATAGATATCACTAAAAAATTATAGAAAAATTCAACAAAAGAGCTTAATTGAATTCCAAACCACACCTACTGTTCAAAAAAAAAAAAAAATTCCAAACCACACCTATTGGTAATGGAGAAGAGAAGTTGCTAAACGACAGATACAGTAAGTAATAAGTTGTACAGACTGAAAGTAGGGAAGTTTAATGTCACCATCACAAAGGTATCAATATTTATTTATTTATTATTTATTTTTGTGTGCGTAAGGAGTCGAATTAATAATTTTACGTTGCAATGGCTTCATTTGGTAAGATTTATTTTTAATTTATTTTAACTTTTAATTTAATTAAAATTATTTTGATATGTTTGGTTCAGTTTAACAATACAATTTATAGTTTTTTGTAAGTTAAAAATCAACTTATTCTTTGAGTGGGGAAGAAAAGCTTAATTTATAAGTAAAAAATCACTTTATGTTCACAGTTATAAGTTATAAGCTGTTAGATTAAGTTATAATCACGTTTCCACAGTTCTACCAAACAGGACTAAAGTATTGCACTACATTTATTTTTTAAAATTTTTTTTCTTATTCTTATTTTCCCAGTTCTCAATCTTTTTTGGACCAACAACAATTTGACACGTAGCAAAGCTTCCAATGGAAAGTTTGGTGACCTTCCTCCCTCTTTTCTCATTATTAAACTAATCTCGAAAAATCATATAACATTAGTTATGTAATAATATGAACCAATGGTATAACATATAATTTTACCCTTAAAATATGATAATTTGCCATTGTTAAGAAGTTCGGAAATAAGGAATAATCCGATTAACATAGGAAAAATTTACTTAGAAACTTCATCTTGAGGAATGGTAATCTGTTTAGTCTTAAATTTTTTTTTTATAAACCTATTAGTCTCATAGATTTTAAAAAGATAGATTTAATATATTATTTAAAAATTAGATTTATGATTTTATCCTTATTTCTATTATGTTTCATTTTTTTTTTCTTTTGTGCTAGAATGGTAAGATACACAATTTATGGGAATCAAATTTTAGATGAATTTTTATATGAAAATCTTTTTTATTTGGAAAACATTTCAAAAGAAGCACAAAATTAACTTGAAATATGCGATTCTTTAAACATTTTAAAAAGATGTGAGATTCTTCAAATTTTTAAAAGGAGTACAAAAATTCTTTAGTAAATTTTGGGCAAATGTATAATTTCAAACTGTAACATTCCAATGTAATATTCAAACGTAACACTCCAATATAACATTCTAAAAAAATCCTTAACGTATTATTTCCAAACGTAACACTCCAATATAACACTAAAAAAAAACTCTTTAAATGTGACACATAAAAAAAATCCCTTGGTGTACTTTTCTCAAACGTAACACTCTAATATAATACTTCAAAAAAAAAAAAAAATGAAAAAACTATTCAATTTCAAGCTATATGAATAAATTATTAAATAAAGACCAAAAACTCAAATTTAAAAAAAAAACAAAAAAAAACCTATGTAATTTAAATTCATTCAAATGTAAATTCTCAATACAAATATTAAACTTAAACCACACATTATTTTCTTAATCTGAATTAATGATGCCAACCAAATGTCAACTATTGAAGTCAGTTGACAATTTTCATCCTCTCAATGAAAACATACTAAAATGTCAACAATAGAACTAGGAAACCTGGTCCCAATCAAAAAATAAAAAAATAAAACTAGGAAACTAGGTAACCAATGGCCCACTCGTGAGAAGACAAAACTCAAAACTAGGGCTAATCCCACTACAACATATAAGACTTTTGGTGATCAATTATTTTGGTCGTTAAAACCATTATTTTGGTCTCTAAATAGTTTTTGTGACAAAATTAAATTCGTCACTAAAAAAGTCACTAAAAGTGTCACGCCCCCAAACCGCCCCTAGTAGTTTGGTGCCGTGATGGCCAGTAACCCGAGGTTACCGAAGGCCGTCTTACAAAAATCACACACAATCAGAGTATAAAATATGGGGCTTACAAGTGCGGAAGCAATATATATACATATACAAAATCTAAATAGTCCATGAGAGCCGTGCATAAATCACTTGGGTCTCTATTGTTTCAAACTGAGCAATTTAGTCATTATATTTCAAGTTTAGTTTTATTTTGATCATTCCATCTAAGTTTTTGTTAATTTTTCCATGTGAATATATATTAAAGAACTGATAATCGTAAATTTTTAATCTCCATATCTAATGGAATGACTAAATTAAAAACCTAATGGTTTAACGTGAAATATGAATGAAAGTGAAATTTTGAGTCAAATTAGCAGAGTTTAAAGTGTTATTTTCCTTAAACTTTAAGAAAAAAAAAAGATATTCGAGGATTGTTTGTAGCAACTTACAAGGATTGTTTGTAGTAACGTTGGCAAAAGCAGGACAAAAAGAGTTGATCTTATTGTTGGCTGTATAGTAGAGGTTAAGGACTACAAAGGCAATACACTTCTACTATATGGCCAACAATGAGATCAACTCTTTTTTAGAAGAGGTTATGGACTCTATTGATGGCAGTAACATAAGCCTCCAGGTTTTATCACACTACAATCCACCCCCTCTTGATGGCAGTACACTTCTATGACTCTTTGCAACTTAGCTTCTCCTGTCGAAGGGTTTGGCACACACCAAGTCAATATCAGCATATACATTTAATACATGGCAAGATAGTTAAAGTCAAACAAATCAAGTGTATCCCAACCACACAATCGCATTTGTATAATAAGCAAAGAATAATGCTACTTACACAAAATAATATTTTTGAAAAAATGAATTAATTACACGTAACACTTCTGTACTACACTTTTAGGTCATGTTTGTTCGGACGGATTGGATTAGATTGGATTAGCATTCCCATAACTAATAGTCCTAAGACTACAGATCCGTTGGATTGTGTATCCTATCCTATGTTTGGATTGAGTTAGGATTAGAAGGAGGGACTAATAGTCCAGACTTTGGCTTAGTCCTCCAATTTATATCCCACGCCTCTCTGTGCGATTGAATAGTCCATTATATATGGGATACCATATCCGGATGGATTGTTAGTCCGTACTTCAATTGTTTAACCAAACATCGGATTAATAATTTTATTAGAATATTAGTCTAATTCCAAACTCATGTCCATCCAAACAAACATGACCAAAGGGCTTAAGGGATGAGTCTGATTTTCTTCACAAGCTCAAAGTGTGAACAATACATATTTTTTGATTGGTGCAAAATAGTGGAATCTTGATGAAAATCAATTCTGAAAATTCTTTTGTTAGTAGTTGGTAGCTAGAGTTAATTAGTTGCAGTCTAGAATGATATGTAACAAGTATTAATAGGTATATAATTTGTTCAGCTATGCAAGCCCAACAGAGGAAAATAACTTGAAGTGAGTACATATTTTTCTTCTTCTTTGTCACAAATAAAAACTCGTTCATACCCACAATTTTCTGTAACAAATTTATGCACAAAACTTCTCTTCCCTAACTGTCCTGAATTCTTGCTGCATCATCGCACTGTGCAGCAACCTAACAGTGGTATCAGAGCATTGAAGGTCCTACAAAACAAAACAGCTAAGGTGATCATCTTAGCAGCAAAAGTCCAAAGAATGGCAGCAAGTTCCAGCATTACAACCTTCAAATATTCACCAGCCGGACTACCGATTTTTGCAGGAGAAAATTACCAATTTTGGAGCACTCAAATGAGAACCTTTTTCATCTCAGAAGATCTGTTTGAAATGTATAATTTTTCTTAACATTTTGATAGGTTCGGCTTTATTTTTAAAGCCATGTACCTTTGAAACTTTATTTTAGATGAATTTTGTAAAGTTTTTGATTTATGCTTAGAGGAGTAAGTTCACATGATTAATATGCTTTGAATGATATTTTAAAGTTTAGTTGTCAAAGATGGGAGATTGGATGTCCAGGAAGTGACATTTTTATTGAAAATAATGAAGTATATGAATTAGAGCTTGTCTATGTGCTCACATGCTTTATAAACCAAACCAAGTCTCAAGTCCTATCAAATGGGGTCGGCTACATGAATCCTTCTATGTGCTCACATGCTTTATAATTTTCTAAAATGATTTTGGAAGTGAATGCTTAGGTTAGGCTTTATTTTAATGAATATGCAACCTTAGAAAAAAACGGGAGATATATTAAAGTTTATGTTTTGTTTGGGAAACGATGAATTTTTTAATGAAATTTTATAGTTGGAAATATTGTCAACATGTTTAGATGATTGTCAAATAAAATGGAATTTGAATGAAGATTAAAATTAACAAGTTTTGAAACTGGAATGAATTCCCTTGACTGTATTTTGGGTCATTGAACCCTAGTGTAATCATGGACTTCTTTAGTTGGTTTGATTTTTAGGTACTGACTTACCTTCTTTTAGTTCATCTCATCAGGTTTAGAAATCCTGGGTGTGACATAATATAATATAATTAATAATGCAAAAATAGCATATGCTACTAAAAGGACTATCAGTTACAGAAAAAGATAACAAATAGTTTGACCTCCTGAAATAAAGTTTATTATTGGAACTCTAGCCACAAAGATAACTGTTGCACATAGTTCTCAAGGTGCTTAGATAGAGAATGATGCTTTGATTTTAAAAAAGAGAAAAAAGAAAATAAGATGACAACCTTCCTAACTAAAATTTCATAAAAATAAACCAAACAATAAATTATATATCATCAATTTTTAAACATGAGACGGCTACAAAACCCACATTGCATTCACATGTGTCAAATATAACTATTATCATCTCTTGCATTAAAAATGGAAACTTGATTTTTATCAATTCTGAAAAGGGGCAAAACAACTGGAATGGAGAGAATTTCATAGCTGTACACATTTTAGCTGATGTGGCATTTACTCAATGGTAAAACATAAACAAAGGCCATGTTTGTTTGGGCGGACTGGATTAGGTTGGATTAGGATTCCCATGACTAATAGTCCTAAGACTACGAATCCCTTTGGATTAGATATCCTATCCTATGTTTGGATTGAGTTAGGATTATAAGGAGGGACTAATAGTTCAGACTTTGGCTTAGTCCTTCAATTTATATCCCACCCCATCTGTGAGATTGAATAGTCCATTATATATGGGATACCATATCCGGATAGATTGTTAGTCCGTACTTCAATTGTTTGACCAAACATCGGATTAATAATTTTATTAGAATATTAGTCCAATCCCAAACTCATGTCCACCTAAACAAACATGACCAAAGGTTTAAGGGATGAGTCTAATTTTCTTCACAAGCTCAGAGTGTGAGCAATACATATTTTTTGATTGGTGCAAAATAGTGGAATCTTGATGAAAATCAATTCTGAAAATTCTTTTGTTAGTAGTTGGTAGCTAGAGTGAGTTAGTTGCAGTCTAGAATGATATGTAACAAGTATTAATAGGTATATAATTTATTCAGCTATGCAAGCCCACAGAGGAAAATAACTTGAAGTGAGTACATATTTTTCATCTTCTTTGTCACAAATAAAAACTCGTTCATACCTACAATTTTCTGTAACAAATTTATGCACAAAACTTCTCTTCCCTAACTGTCCTGAATTCTTGCTGCATCATCACACTGTGCAGCAACCTAAAAGTGGTATCAGAGCATTGAAGGTCCTACAAAACAAAACAGCTAAGGTGATCATCTTAGCAGCGAAAGTCCAAAGAATGGCAGCAAGTTCCAGCATTACAACCTTCAAATATTCACCAGCCGGACTACCGATTTTTGCAGGAGAAAATTACCAATTTTGGAGCACTCAAATGAGAACCTTTTTCATCTCAGAAGATCTGTGGGATTTGGTTGAAAATAGCTATGAAAGCTCTCAAAGCCAAGAAGAATATTCAGCATGGTCAGAGGCACGGAAGGAGAAGTTGAAAGAACATAAGATGAAAGATGCCAAAGCCTTGTACTACATTCAACAAGCAATCACAAAAACAATTTTTCCGAGGATAATGGCTGCAACAAAATCTAAAGAAGCATGGGAGATTTTGAAGAATGAGTTTCAAGGATCGGAGAAGGCGATTGTTGCCAAACGTCAAACTCTTTGGAGAGAATTTGACAATTTGATGATGGAGGAAGGTGAGTCCATCGAAATTTTCTTTTCAAGAGTTTTTACCGTCATTAATCAACTGAAGGGTTGTGGTGGTATAATACGAGATAAGAGAGCAGTAGAAAAAGTCTTGAGAAGCCTTCCCATTAAATACGATCGTGTGGTTGCTGGCATAAAAGAATCAACAAATTTATCAACTCTTACTTTGCATGAACTAATGGGTTCCCTTCAAGTGGATGAAGAAAGAATGAATAGATTTTCTGATCAGCCCTTTGAGCAAGCTTTTCTTTGTTCCAGCATTACAACCTTCAATTATTCACCAGCCGCAGTGCCCATTTTTGAAGGAGAAAATTACCATTTTTGGAGCACTCAAATGAGAACCTTTTTCATCTCAAAAGATCTGTGGGATTTGGTTGAAAATAGCTACGAAAGCCTTCAAAGCCAAGAAGAATATTCAGCATGGTCAGAGGCAAGGAAGGAGAAGTTGAAAGAACATAAGATGAAAGATGCCAAAGCCTTGTACTACATTCAACAAGCAATCACAATAACAATTGCTCCGAGGATAATGGATGCAACAAAATCTAAAGAAGCATGGGAGATTTTGAAGAATGAGTTTCAAGGATCGGATAAGGCGATTGTTGCCAAACGTCAAACTCTTTGGAGAGAATTTGACAAGTTGATGATGGAGGAAGGTGAGTCCATTGAAATTTTCTTTTCAAGAGTTTTTACCGTCATTAATCAATTGAAGGGTTGTGGTGGTATAATACGAGATAAGAGAGCAGTAGAAAAAGTCTTGAGAAGCCTTCCTGTTAAATACGATTGTGTGGTGGCTGGCATAAAAGAATCAACAAATTTATCAACTCTTACTTTACATGAACTAATGGGTTCCCTTCAAGTGGATGAAGAAAGAGTGAATAGATATTCTGATCAGTTATTGGAGCAATCTTTTCAAACAAAGATGAATATGCCAGAGAAAACGGATGGAGGAAACAAGAAACAAAATCAAGGCAGTCAATTTCAGAGAGGCCAATCCAATCGTGGCCACGGAAGAGGAGGAAAAATGCACACTCAACGGACTGCAAGAGATATATCACAATCTGAATCTTGCTCCAAATTTTGCAAGAATACTAATCATGGAAGCATGGACTGCTCTTTCAAAAAACTGACAAAATTCAAGAATAATAACCATCTTGAAAAAGATAGTGGGTTTCGTAAAAAGGATGAAGCTAACTTTTCAGAAAAGGGTGAATCTTCAAACCAACAGTGCTATCCTGACATGAACAGTCAACAAGAACCACAAGACACGCGGGATATTGACAGCAGATGCAGCAACCATATGATGGGAAACAAGAGCAGCTTTGTTAGCTTGGATGATGGGAAGTTTCAGAACATTAAAGGAAAGAGCACCATTGCTGTGAAAACAAAGGGAGGTAACACCAAGCTAATCCATGAGTTCGTTATGTTCATAGTTTAACTCAAAATCTATTAAGTGTGGGCCAATTGATACAAAAAAGGATATTTGGTGAAATTTGATGGAGATGAATGCACTTTACTTGATAAGAAGAATAATAAGAAAATTGCTCAAATAAATATGGTCACCAATAAAGTGGTTACTCTCACAATGCCAGTAAAGGAAAGCTATGCTGAAGACATGGATCAATCCATGACATGGCATTTGAGATAAAGTCTTTTGTCAATTTGTCTACGAAACCAACCCAACCTGCCTATATATATATATGAAAAAATTTCCTTGCACTTGCTCACAAACAATCTCTCCCTAACCTTAATACCATTAATCAGATGATACTCTCCCCTTATTTTAATCACATGTTTTTTTTTTCTTAATTTGATTCTTTTGCATATTAATTTGTAAAGTATGATTTCGACTAACATCATGCATTAATTAATATATTTGTTGTGTTGGGATTTGGAATAAATAATGTATTATTTTTTTTTGTTGAAATTTGAAAAAAGAAAAAGAAAAAAAAGAAGGTTATATGTTCAAACCTAAATTGACCCATGCACGCCCCTACTCAAGAGTCACATAATCATGTAAAGTTTCAAGTGATTTTGACTCTTGGGGCATTGGCACAATGTCGAGGGAGTTTCTTTTCCCACACCCTTTTTTTTTGTCAGTTGACATCATTATTTAGTTCACACACAATTTTGGCTTTTTTTATTTTTATTTTTTCACACCATTTAATCTCCATATTCTTATCTTCAACCTAGTCTAACCCTTTCCCCTCCGCCACCAGTGTAGCCCCCTCATGTAGTCCCCTTGCTTGCACAGCCCCCTCCTTTCCCCGTTGCCCACTGCCTTCTTTTCATTTATTAGGGGCTACTGAAGCAAGTTGCGGTGGTGGGGAGCTGGCGGAATCATGATTGTGTGGGGCGGCGATGCCAACAACAATGGCTAGGGTTTTGTAGTGGCAAGGGGTGGCGGCTAGTGATGGTGGGTTAGGAGGGAAGGTGTGTATATTTTGTCCTTGATGATAATTTGTTTGTGGGACACAAATGTAAATTAAAAACATAAAAAAATGGTGTGAACTAAGAGAATGATAGTGTGTGGAAGCTCCTCAATGTGAGGGACCACAAAATAACTTCTCTAGCAACAGACCTTTTATCAGGGAAGTTTCCTGAAAGGTACAAAGATGTTAGCCATCCAACCATCTTAAACCCACTTGGATGGAGTTAATACAAATGGCTTAATGTGCATAATTAATGCTGGACAATCCAAATCCAAATGCCAATCAAGCCAAGCTTATCAATTTCTTAGTATATATGATCAATTTACTATTCTATTATGAATTTTTTAATAAAATATTTTGATTTTTGAAACTAGTTCGATACTTTATTTTTTAATCAAATTTTAGGAGATCATAGCTCCAACTTTGTGTACTTTTACTAAGGTAAATGCATGTCCAGCCAAACTTATAGAATTTGAAGTTGTTAATATATATGTTAGGATCTTCTTACAATATATTTCATGGTGAACTTAATTACATTTTGTTTTGTATCTTTAAAACAGCCATGGAAGCATCGACTTCTTCTGAGGTTAACTTTCAGATTCCAGCCAGTTCCAGCATACCACTTTCTGTTCCATCTGTAGTTGAAGGTGAATCAGCCATCTCAGGGTTTACAAGGTAAGTTAGTACAAAAATATTGGGTTAGGAAGTATTCTTATGTGGGTTTTATTTATTCATGTTTACAACTTATCTATGAAATGCAAAAGCATATTCATAAATGTTCTTTCTCCACTTATTAATCCGCATGTGTCGTGCTCAGTATTTCATTTTTATACCAAGTGCAGATAAAGAGGGATGCATTGCTTGAAAATCCTTCTTGTATCCCTCACTAGCATGAAGCTTATCAATATGCGAGAAAGTGATAGGGCATTCCTTATAAGTAGGGCTACAAACAAACCAAGCAGTTCATGAATAGCTCGAGCTTGGGTTGTTTAAGATGATTTGTGTACTTGGCTTACCTTTCAATGAGGTTAGGCCATGTATATATATTGAAGCAAGATTACAAATTAGGATATAAGAAAATTACATTGATTGAGGCAAGAAATCTGTGATTGTATAATCACAGATTTTATTCAAACTAATACTATATATCATAACTAATACAATAAATAAATAATTCTATTCCAACCTCCTCCTCAAGCTGGCTCAAAGATATTAACCAAACCCAGCTTGACAATGGTTGGCTAAAGCAAAGAAGGTCCTGCAGACTCAGTGAACATATCTGCAGTTTGCTTTGAAGAAAAACAAAGGATGGAGTAACATAGCCTGTTCGAACCTTCTCCCGATGAAATGAACTTCCACCTATTTAGTTTGCTTGTAAAGAACTGAATTGGAAGCAAGCATGCTCGCAGACTTGTTATCACAAAACAACTGGGAAGAGTCTTTCTCCCAAAAGCCCAATTCTGAAAGTATAGATTGAAGTCATAGAAGTTCACAAGTACCCTAAGCCATAACTCGATACTCAGCCCCAACTGAAGATTTGGAAACAACTACTTGCTTCTTACTTTTCCATGATAAAAGATGATTACCATAGAAAGTACAAAAGGTTGAGCGTCTACTAGCCTTTGACCTAGCATAATCAGCATCCGTGAAACAAGAGTCTAGTTTGGGTACCAATTGAGAAAAATAATCCCAAACCTGGACAAGTCTTGAGACATCGCAAAATGTGATAAATTGCATCAAGATGAGTAGTATGCCGTGCATGCATAACCTGACTCTTTACACTCACTGCAAATGCCAAGTTTGGTCTCGTATTAGTCAAGTATATTAGACCACCCACCAAACGCTGATATATAGCTGAATCAAGAAGTAGATCCCTAGATTTAGCTGAGATCTTAACGTTTGGTTCCATAGGAGTAGAGGCAGGTTTACAACCTAGCATGCTAGTGTCCTGAAGAACATCTAGAGTATATTTTCGTTGGGACAAAGATATCCCTCGATGTGACCGTGCAACCTCGATACCCAAAAAATATTTGAGAGGACCCAAATCCAATGTCAAATGTTTTTCCCAGCTCCTGTTTCACCCGAGTGATCCTAGAAGCATCATCCCCAGTAAGAATGATATTGTCCACATCTATGAAGCACGAACATGGGACACAGTGACTTAAAAAAAATGGGGATGCAGACACGGCAGAGGACACAAAAAATATATATTTTTTAAATATATATTTCCTGTATAGATTAATATTATGTTACCAAACAATTAAAATTAAAAAAAAGTGACATTAAGTTAATGTGAGTGGGACATGCAATAATGCAATTTTTTAAAGTATATGGATCACTATGCAATTGTTTAATTTGAATGGAGTGGGCACACCCAAATGAGACAAAATAATAATAATAATAATAATTCCTCTTTTCCCCTTATTATAATAATAATAATTCCTTTTTTTTCCTCTTTTTGTATGTGGGTTGTGCCCCCTTGGTGCCTATTTTCAAAATACGAGAAGACAAGAGAAGAGGAGAGAGATGAGAGGTGAGCCCTAGAAGACAAGAAGAGAACCCCGATGGTGAAGAAGAGAGAGCAGCATAGCGAGAGAGATGTGAGGTGAGAGAGCAGCACATCGAGAGAGAGAGAGAGATAGGAGGCGAGAGAGAAAGAGAGACGAACCTGACCAATAAACTAGCTTCTTCTTTTGACATGTCTGATCGACAAACCAAGTACATAGCTTCTTCTTCTTCTTCTTCACTTTCTGTTCTGATTTTGAGATCTAGGCGTGTCTCCAGCGTGTCCCTTACAAAAAAAAATAATGAAATTAAAGGGACGCACCAAATGACGTGTCCTGTACATGTCAGAGGCGTGTCCCGTGTCTAACACCGTCACGACACCTGTTTAGCCGTGTTCATGGTTCATAGGTCCACATAAACTAATAGAATAGTATAGCAACCATTGGGCTAAAGACAAATAAAACATGTATGATCAAAATGGCACTGAAGAAAATCCATCGAAAGAACCACAAAACTAAATTGATTGAACTAAGCTCGAGGAAATTGCTTGAGACCATAAAGAGACTTGCGCAGGCGACACACCCTTCCCTACAAACTTTCCCTTAGCTCGTAAATCGGATGGAGGATCTATGTAGATGCTTTCAAGCAAGGCAACATGAAAAAAGTCATTCTTGATATCAATTGATAGAGAGGCCATGAATGAGCTGTTGCCAAAGAAATCACAAGATTCACAGAGGTCAGTTTGGCAATTAGAGCGAAAGTAGCACCAAAGTCTTGACCAGGTACCTGAGTAAAACCTTTGGCAATAAGGTGAGCCTTATCGAGATCCACAGACCCATGTGAAAGACATTTCACATTAAGCACCCATTTGTAGCCCATCGTTTTGGCACTTGGAGGTAATGGCATAAGAACCCAAGTAATGTTGTGAAAAGCGTGCCTAGGCTCAAGGCGCAGGGAGTGCGCCTGAAGGGGCCCAAGGCAAGGCGCATTGGATGAGTCACGTGACTTGGATGCGACTTGGATAGGCGCCGAAAGGCTCAAAGCGCGAGCCTAAGACGGCTTTTTTCTTTTTTTTTCCCTGGTGTGTGTGTTTCTGATGTTGTTCTAACGGTTGTGATTTGTGTTCGGAAGGCTCTAACCACATAGGATTACAACTCATACAATACAACTCAACCCAAATTAGTATACGACTCAAATCCCTTAACTATCAAAGAAATCTGTGTTGTCTCTTCCTCTGGGCTCCTCTCTTGACTTCGACTTCGATTCAGGTCAGTGCTGCTTCTTCTTTCTCTTTTTCTCCGCCTCCTCTTCTTTTTCGTTGGTTTCTTCTGTGTGTTTCGAATAGATTCGATTTGTTTTTTTTTTTTTTGTCTTTTTCTTCTTCGCTGGTTGGTTGCTGGGTTGGGTTGGGTGAATTTCTTCTTCTTCTCTGTTGGTTCGCTGGGTCTTTCTTTTTTTTTTGTTTTTTTCCCCTTCTGCGCTGGTTGTGCTTGTTGCTGGGTGAATTTTTTTTCTCTTCTTCTCCTCCTCCTCCTTTCCCTTCTTCGTTGCTGGTTGCTGGGTGAAATTTCTCTCTGTTTTTATTTTTTATTTTTTATTTTTTTCCTTCTTATTCTGCTTCTTTTCTTTTTCTCATTCTGCTAGTTAGCTCTCTGTTCTTTTTTTCCTTTGTTTTGAGTCTCGTCTCTGTTAAAAATAAAATAAAATAGAAAATGACATACATTACATGCATTATGCTGAAATTGATTCATACATTACATACATTAATTAATTCATCATATACATTACATTCATTATACTGAATGATTAGTACTATAAATGATTAGTCTATGTTAATTTTTCTATTTTTAACTAAGACTGTGCGTCTTACTTCAATAAAGCCTGCGTCTCGCCTTGCGCCTTGTGTCTAGGCCCCGAGAGACCTTCAGCATCTTAGTGCGCCTGGAGTCTTTAAAAACACTGGCTAAGAGTCTTGGTCTCTTATGGCTGTCTTTTTTCTCTCTTCTCTCTCATCAACTCGCTGCTTCTGTTAGTTAAAAAAAAATTGTTGACCCTCTCTCTTCACTCTCGATTTGGTGCTTCTCTCTTGCTGCTCTTGGTCTCTCGTCTCTCTCTAAAATGGTGATGGTCCATCTTCAACCTTTAGAGGTTTTGATCTTCCAGCAATTGTAGTCTCCAGAAAATCGAGGTAACTTTATGTTTGTTTATGGTTTCATGTTTTGATTTATTGTTAAAATCTATTGATTTGATGATGGTTGATTTAGGATTTGTACTTGTTTTATATTTTCATGTTTTTATTTAAAGATTTCAAAATATTTTGATTTGGTGATGTTTTGATTTAGGATTTTTGTTTGGAGTTTTCAACCCGTGTAATCTGACCTCAACCGATTCGAAAAATTAAATTGATGTTCGGTCGATTTCAATAGTCATGTGGTTTGAAAACGGTTTCACCAAACCTGAACCCGACCATGTTCGGTCCGCTGACGGGTCATGGCCAAACCCAATTCTGACCGACCCGTGAACAGCCCTAATGTATGTACATACATCAGAGTTTGCCATCCAGTCTTACAATTATGGCCTAACTCATATTTTGGTAGCTGATAATATAAAATAATTTACCACCTTTTTGTTCCTAAACGAAGTTTGCTACCGCTGCACCCCCCCCCCCAAAAAAAAAAAAAAAAAAGTTGAATTGCCACTAAATACAAATATAGAGTAAATTTGTAGAGAGAGGATTCTCATCACTTGTTTGAATGATATAGTGAGAAATGCTGAGAAAAAGAATCACATTAAATGAAATTTGTTGTATATATAGTGACCATCTAAATACACGAACGATTAAAAATAAATTGACACGTGTCTTCTTTTATTTATTAATTAAATTTAAAAAATAAATAAAATCACAATATTCGTTTCATTTTTTCTCACCTAATTTGCCAACGGAACTGTTGAGCTAGCTTCTTCGCTTAAGCCTTTAAATTAATGAAGTTTCTATTGTTTATTCTGTTTAACAGAGATTACATTGCATTTAGACGTGGACGTGAACATGATATTAGAAGCATTCCGTTTTGTGTTGGAGTTCCATTTCTCTTTGTTTGTTGAACTTGGATTCTGTGCGCCAAAACTTGACTTGCAAGTATTTGGTTGCTGTGGCAGAGCGAGGATACATT